GATGCATTTTGTTTCTTAATTCGTTCAAATAGTCTGTGTCTTTTGACTGGGGAGTTCAGTCTGTTAATATTTAAAATTATTAATGAAAGATGGGTATTGCATCCTGTCATTTTTATTTCTCTTTACATTCTTGATATAGGTGTACCTTTCCACAGTTATACCTTCATTGGAGTTCTTTTCGCAACTCCTTTGGTATAGTCATTCCTTTCTTCAGCTCTTTGTATTGCTTCCAGAACTCACTGAAGGACTGGTTTTGTGGACATGAATTCCTTCAACATTAGTTTTGTCATGGAAGATTTTTCTTTCCCCTTGGACTGTAATAGACAGTTTGGCTGGGTATAGTAATCTGGTTTGGCATCTGTGGTCATTTAAAACTGGGAATACTTTGGTCCAGGCTCTTCTAGCTCTCAGTTGGCATCTGTGGTCATTTAAAACTGGGAATGCTTTGATCCAGGCTCTTCTGGCTTTCGTAGTTTTCACTGAAAAGTCAGGTGTAATCCTAATGGGTTTTCCTTTATATGTGACTTGTTGTTTCTCTTTTGCAGCTTTCAGTATTGTCTCTTTGTTTTGTACATTTTGTGTTTTTACTATGATGTGCTGTGGAGAATTTCTTTTCTGTCGTGTCTGATTGGTGTTCTATATGCTTCTTGTATTTGTATGGGCATGTCTTTGTTTAATATTGGGAAATTTTCTTGCATGATTCTGTTGAAGATCTGGTCCATGCCATGATCTTGGGATTCTTCTCCTTCCTGTATGCCTATGATTCATAAGTTTGATCTTTTTATGGTGTCACACAATTCCTGCATATTCCATTCTTATGATTTCTTAAGGTTTTCATAATCTTTGTTTGAGTGGTCTAGTTCGTTCACTTTATCCTCCAGTCTTGATACTCTGTTTTCCATTTCATTCATCCTATTGGTGAGGCTTTCTCCTGTCCTTCCTAATTGGCTCACTGAGTGTTTCACTTCCTTTTTCATTTCAGCCTTCAATATTTCTCTTTTCTGAATTCATTCAGAAGTTTATCCCTATCTTTCTTTAGTTCTTTGATTTCTTTGTGTGTTCTTTAAAATCACTGAATTCTTTTATCATGTTTATAATTGTTCTTTTGAGTTCCATGTCCTGCATTATCTCTAGGCAATTCTCATTGTACTCCTCTGGAATATTGGTATGTTGTGGGGACATGTTATTTTTCATTTTTCATGTTGTTATTCTTTATTTGTGACTTTTACATGTGAATTTCATTTGTATTTTCTGATTCTTATGTGAGACTCAAGCCTTCATTTTAGGTCTGTTTCTTTTTGTGAACTTTATGTGTCTTTGTGGTTTACTTTTTGGGCATGAAAGGCTGTTTCCTCTAAGCTTACAGTTCTGTGTTTTGATTTTATATTGGAGTGGCCAGATTGCTTTTGTCTTGAGGAGTTCCCACAGAGGCCCAAGTCAGATGAGGATCAGATGCTCTCAGGCTTTCTCCTAAGGTCTGGATCCCTCCAGGATAGATTTTGGTCTTAGGAATTTGGGGGTTGGACTGGCCTGGGAGCCGAGCACAGGAAAGATGCTGGTCTAGGGCAGCTGGTGGCCCTGCCATCCAGAGATGCAAAGGAAGATGGGGGCGGAAGGCAGCCCCAAGAGCCCCTGGTGACTGCAGTGAGGAACTGGGTTGGTCTGGATGCAAAGGATCACGAAGAAGAAAGGTCAGACCTGGAGTCCTGAAAAGATGCTGGAAGGTTGTGCAGACCGTGGAAGGCAGAGGGATGTGAGGGAGGGGCCAGGTCCAGAGCACCCCTGGGGACCTGAGAAGGAACTGAGTTGGTCTGAATGCACAGAATCAGGAGGCAGTGGTGTGGTGGTCCCTCAGGTGTCTGGCGCGATGAGACAAGGAATGGGACAGGACCCAGGCTAGGAGGAAAGACCGACAGGGGAGATGGGAGTGTGAGTGAGGCTGGGGGAGTCAAGTCTTGGAAGGCTCAATTGACTTACCCCAGAGAGAGAAGCCTGTGGGTTGGAGAGAGGCCCGTGTGTCCTACAGGCCCAGAGAAGTGGAGGGAGGTGAAGGTATTTTGTTTCTTTGAGTCAAGGTCTTTACTATGTGGTCCCAGCTGTCCTGGAACCCTGTATGTAGACCCCCAGGCACCATGTGTGCATCACCAATTCCAGCTCCAGCCATATTCTTTTTTGTTTGTTTGTTTGTTTGTTTGTTTGTTTTGTTTTTGGTCTTTTTTTGAGATAGGGTCTCTCTGTAGCCCCAGCTGGCCTGGAACTTACTATGTAGACCAGGCTGCCCTTGAACTCACAGAGATCCACCTGCCTCTGCCTCCTGAGTGCTGGGATTAAAGGTGTGTGCCACCAGGCCCAGCTTCCAGCAATAGTTTTAGAAACCAATTTCACTGCTTAAAAACTAGAAGTTAGCATGTTAGTACACGGATTTAATCCCAGCACTTAGGAGGCAGAGGCAGGTGGGTCTCTGTGAGATAGAGGCTAGCCTGATCTATATAGTAAATTCTAGAAATGCTGGGACTATAAAGAGACCCCATCTCAAATACTAGAAGTTAAGAACATTGTATTCATTTTCAATGTTCCTATTATTTCATCTGGTAACACAGCGTTCAGATTTTGTAGTTTGTTGAGTGGATATGTAAATGCTTTTAAAGGCTGATGCGTTAATGCTATGGTATTTAACTCTTCTTTGAAACTAACTCTTGGATTTGAAAAAATACTGAATTGACTGGTTTTGTTTTTAAAATTACATCACTGATATTCTACAAGTGGAATAAAGGAAATAAGCTTTTTATGCATGTTGGGGGTTGGTAACTATAGATAAACATTGAAACTAGTGAGGAGAAGGAGGGGAAGGACAGACAGTATTTATTGAGTACCTGTTGTAACTCAAATGTGAGTGAGGGGAAGGAAAGGAAAGACAACCAGCATTTATTGAGTGCCTATTGTAACTCATAGTGGGTGAGGGGAAGGAGAGGAAGGACAGACAGCATTTATTGAGTGCCCATTGTAACTCAAATTGAGTGAGGGGAAGGAGAGGAAAGACAGAATTTATTGAGTGCCTATTGTAACTTGGGTCTTACATTACTTTCTTACATAGTGCATTTAACATCAACAAAAATCTCATGAAATGTAAATATCAGTAGTGCCCATTTTGCAGAAAAATCACCTAAAATAATTTGCCCTGAGTAAATGGCTAGTAATAAAGGTCAGTATTTAATTCTAAATCTTTGGCTTCATTGAGACGATTATTTAAAAAAAAAAAAAAAAAAAAAAAAAAAAAACTAAACTCATGGTGGCAGTTGTCCCAGCCCTCAGGAGGCAGAGGCAGGCGGACCTCTATGAGTTCAAGGCCAGCCTGGTCTATATAGTAACTTCCAGGCCAGCAGGGGCTACAGGGAAACCCTGTCTTTAAAAAAAAAATCAAATAATAATAATAATAATAATAAATAAATAAGATGAAATGAGTCAAGCTATTGGCATTATAAAATAAAATAATGAAGCTGGGCGTAGTGGTGCATGCCTTTTATCCCACCACTTGGGAGGCAGAGGCAGGCGGATCTCTGTGAGTTCAAGGCCAGCCTGGTCTACACAGTGATTTCCAGTACAGCTGGGGCTATAGGGAGACCCTGTCTCCAAAAGACCAAAAATAAATAAATAAAATAAAATAAGGAAACAAGGAGAAAGAGGTTCTTAGTCTCATTCATGAAATAATTTAAGAATGGACCCAAACAGAAGCTTTTACATCTTTTATTAGAATCTTAGAGAAAAATCCTCAAGGCAGGTGGGCCAGTAATCTTGGCAGCTGCCTTGAGGAGGTGAATAGTGGGAAGAAGGAAAGAAAGCCATGGAGCCATGCAGGTTTAGAGCCTGCATGGAGGTCAGACATGTGGCTTGCAGCCACATGGCTGGGAGAAGGAGGCGTTAGAGAAAAAGTGAAGAAATACAAGATGCTAGGGGCAGCCCAAAGCCTTAGAAGAGAAAGCATGTTTAGAAAGAAAGGCATGAAGGAAAAAAGGAGAAATTACGCTTTCCTGAAGAAAGCAGACAGACTTACGGAGGCCTTCATAATTGTGGCTGGTCTGGAAATTCTGCAGGCATCTGAGCTAGTTCCAGGCAGGAAATATTCACCACCTTATTAACACACCGGGTATTCTGCCCATCTGTTTAGCATAACTTAAGGTGAACCCGCAGTCTTGGGAGTGGTTCTGTCACCAGGTAATTGACCAGTGAGACTGGAAAAGTGAGTCCTCCAACAGATAGACTAGACATTTCTTATAGTCTGGACCAGTTCAATTTATGGGGCTTATTGATACTCTAACAATAACAGATGATATATACAATCTTTCTGAACAAAAAATAAAGGCAGAATTGAGGAAAGATCTAGAATTCCTTGTACTGGCCATGTCTGGAGCAGTTGTCAGAGTGCTGTTTAGTAGTGGTGGATCCATATTGCCTGGAAGTACTGGCAGAGGTAGGTGGTAGGAAGGCTTAGCTGTGCACTCCATCACAAGCTGTGGATTTAAAACCTTTTATTTATTTGTATCAACTGACAGAGATGTGTTTCCAGTGAGTAGACCTCATGAACAGTCTATTTATTGATCTGAATCTATTGATAGATTTGTTGTTACTTAAGCTTAAGTTAATTGCTCCCTAGAACTGAATTTTCAGTCTCAGATACTTGGGTTATCTATGAAATTTCTAAACATTGATATAAAATATTTTTTGGAAATAGAAAGCCAACTTGGTTAGTATTTTTAAGTGAATGGGGAATGCTGATCTTAATACCTAGTATTGAAACTGAGAAAGTATGAATAGGGTTTATGGATATGTTATGAAAAATATCACACAAAATGGCTGTCTCCCAGGTTTTTGAAAATACATGGATTGGTGAAATTTTGAAACTTCTCAAGTTATCACTTGTGTCTAAGATGCTAAATATTTTCTGCCTTACAGTTGTAAAATTTTCTGTCACCTCCATTTACCACCTTCTTTAATGTTTCTAGGTTATTGAATCTTTGGGAATTATTATTTATAAAGCATTGGACTATGGTTTGAAAGAGAATGAAGAAAGGGAGCTGAGCCCTCCCCTAGAGCAGCTCATTGATCAAATGGCCAATACAGTTGAGGCTGATGGGAACAATGATGAGGGATATGAGGCTGCAGACCCAGAAGACGAAGATGAGGACAAGAGGAGCATCTCAGCTATTCGGTCCTATCAAGATGTCATGAAGGTAAAGCCACACCTTACTTAGAGTTTGTTTCTCTGTGAGTTGTGATGTTCAAAAGAATGGCATGGTAACTCGGCATTTGGCAATAGTTCCCAGGCTTTGTGCAGCCTGAATGATCATAACTTTTAGCCACTTCTAGTGTATAATGTGCTGGTTACCATTGCCCCTCTGACAACAGCCTGCTGGACCTCGCGCTGTCAGCTGGTTACTGTATTTTCTTCTTACCTAGTCAGTTACAACTGTGAGCCAGTTCTTTACATGAAGACTAAATTCCACCAATATCAGCTGGTGTTTCACTTTGTTTTGTTGATCTTCCTAGTACAGTCTGCATGTGAATGAATGAAGCCAGTTCATTGGGTAAGATGAAAAATTTCTCTCTAGTTTAATTTTGCTGCACACTTGAAGGCTAAATGTATAGAGATGAAAACTAAGACAAGCTTGACAAGTTAGCCTCAAGGTATTATGTTTGAGATTATTTATATATAATTACTAGATTTTTATTAAGTATGTCACTTAGTTTTTCAATATTTTCAGCAATAGGATGTAGAGACACCATGCAAGTACACTTTTCAGTTGTGCTGTGCACTCTGGGTGCCTCATCTTCCCCAGAAGAAATGTCCCTCAGGACTTGGGAAGAGACTAGATAAGCTATCATTCTTAACAAATTAAGATATTTTCTTCTTTTTGTTGTATTTGTTTTAAGGCAGGTTTTCCATATAGCCCTAGCTGGTCTGGAACTCTCTGTGTAGACCAGATGGGCCTCCATCTCACAGAGATCCATCTGCCCATGCCTCCCAAGTGCTGGGACTAAAGGTGTGAGCCACCATGCCCAGCTTCTTTACTTCTAATACCAGTAGCCCTCCTCATTTTAAACCAATGTCCCCACAGTACACATGTAACATTTCACAACTTGTATTCATTTTAGATACTCTAGGTGTTAGAGTTTGTTTTTATTTTCATTTTTTAAATTTACATATTTTTATTGATTCCAGAATGTCATACAATGTATTTTGATCATATTTAAACCTCTTCCCCATCCAGTTCTTCCCTGTTGAACTCCCTTCCTGATTTCCTGTCCTCCATTATTATCTATTTATTTACTTATTTATTTATTCATTTAACTTTTGTTTTATGAAATATTTTATTATTTTTATTTTATGTGTATGTGTGTATTGCCTGCATGTACGTAAGTGCACCTATGTCGTGCAATGCCCATGGAAGACAGAGGAAGTTGTCGGATCCCCTGGAACTGGAGTTATGGACAGTTGTTAGTTGCCATGTGGGTGCTGGGATTCAAACCCAGGTCTTCTGCAAGAACAACCAGTGTTCTAAACTGCTGAACCATCTCTCTAGCCCCAACTTTTGTTTTTTAAAGGTCTATTGATTTCAATCCATACCTCCCAAGTGCTCCTAGGCATGGATTCATACCCTAGAGTCTAGTCAACCTACTAGGCATCACACCAGTGACGAAAGCTGACTCTCCCTCTCTCAGAGTTCATTTGCCAGTAGATCCTCAGCTAGGGTTAGAGCTTCCGGCCCAAGGTCCCCATCCATGTTGGGCCCCTTTAGAGTTTGTTTTTAAAAATAGATACTAAGCCGGGCGTGGTGGCACACGCCTTTAATCCCAGCACTCGGGAGGCAGAGGCAGGTGGATCTCTGTGAGTTCAAGGCCAGGCTGGTCTACATAGTGAGTTCCAGGACAGCTGAGACTACAGGGAGACCCTGTCTCAAAAAGACCAAAAAAAAAAAAGATACTAAAGGACACTATGCAAAGTGAAACAAGCCAGATACAAAAAGAGAAATACAGCATTTCCTCTCATGGGCAGGGAAAGCAAAGCGGACCTGAATGTAAATTGGGTTACTAGAGGTGGTTAGGCCCTAGGTAGATAAAAGCAGGTTGGATTTGGTCACTGAAGGCTGTCTGCCTATGAGGAAATATCTTATCAAACCCCATTAATATGTACAGTACAACAGAGTAATCAAAAATAAAATAACTTTTAAGAAGGAAAATACATCTAAGCATATTTAGAGGTCTGCAGACCAAAATTGACCTGCTAGTTCTGTGGAAGACCACTGATAAATAAATAGACCACTTATGTAAAATATGAAGAATAAAAGGTATTACATTAACATAAATGACAGAATGTGTGAAATTTGGTGGGCGGGGCATGGGAGGGTGGGAATGGGGAAGGGGGCATAAAAATGAGTAAGGTGTTATGTATGAAATACCCAAAAATTCAATAAAAATATACAAAAATGTATTACCTCAAGAAGCAAGCTTACACCACTGGAAATGGTTGGCAGGTTTTGACTGCGCGTGTGGGCTGGGGGCAGTGCAGTGCAGGTGTAGTGAAGGGAAACTGGAATATACCATGTGGGTCTCTTAAGTCAACCCTGTCACTAGCAGCATGACTGAGGAGCCAGACTGCTGTCTTACACTAGAGAATTGGAAGATGGGGGACACAAGGAATGGAAATCTTAAAATTATTATTCAGCAGCATTAAGTATATTGACGTATAAAACAAAAATTCCTGGGCATTTAGTAATTTGAATGGATACTTTTTACCTTAATTAAATTTGAGCTATTATAGTTTCATAACATAACTGTTAAAATTCTATAAAAATAGTTAAAAGGCTGCTTAAGACATATTTTGTAGTTTTGGGGGGAATCTCTAGGTTTTCCAATTCCATTACTAGCAGTTTCGTTTGATGATACCATAACCTCACCTTTTATTGTTTGGTTTCCATGTCAATCAAAGTTTGCCTATAAAATTTCCTGTGTCTGTAATAGCATATTCTGAGTGTCCTTTTGGCTGAATGAAAGGGGAAAAATTGCTGAGACATTTGACAAGAAAGCTGAAAAAAATTTCAATATCACAAAACATTACTCATGACCACAAAGAAACACATAAAAGTTTGTGGTTTCACTGGTGGGTTGAAAACCTCCATTAGTAATTTGACTGCTTCACTTTGTTGAAAGAGACGACAAAGAAAATGACTGCTTTCTCTTGTTTGAAAAAAAAAAAACTTCATTATCATCATTATTGTATGTGTATATGTGCTCATTAGAAGATTCCTCTGTGGAGTAAGTTTTCTATTTCCACCTTTATATGAGCTTCAAGATCAAACTCGTGTTATGAGGCCTGATCAGAAAGCGCCTCTACCCACTAAGCCACCTCACCAGGGCTTTGACTGCTTTCATCTTGTCAAATCCAGAAGTGTGAAACAAATTTGGAATAATGCAAATATGGGATTTTTAGGACCTTAAAGAAAATTTGTTTTCATTTTAATGTATATATATATATATATATATATAATTAAAAAATAAAATAAAATCTTT